CTTTGTAAAAATCGACGCGTTTCAGAAAGGCGGGGCATAGAGGAGAAACAATAATGTACAGTATGTGGAAAATAATGTGTTTTTTGAACCTTAAACCGCATAAACATTTAATTACACCAAATACACAAAATAATGTTCTTTTTAGCAACATCATATGACCCCTTTAACATTTTTAATTATCTTTTATATTTTTATTTTAGTAATTTTGTTTTGCACATTTGTCATTTGTGTTTATAATTCTATATAGCTTTAATTTTTATTTCAGTTTTAGTAATTTTAGTACTTCAACTTCAACTTATTTTAGCTGCCAAGGCAACTTTTTCAATTTTTCTTGTTAAAGTTTGTTAAAGTTTCATCTAATGTTTGTATTTTACTCCGTTTTATTTCAGCTTTACAAAACATTTTTTGTATACTTTTAGTTAACATTATCAACACTGCTAGTAGATTAAGTAAAAGTCTTAATAGCAGTGTTGGTCTTGTCTTTTTTGTTCTAGTGACCAGACAGACCCTTTCAACCGCAGTCCACTCACCATGGACCAGATCAGGCCCAATGAAGAGCTCAGGCAACAGATCATGAAGTGGCTTGCTGATCATAAGCAAAGCAATCAGCAAATGGGACCCAGTGGCTAAACCATATTACTCCCTTCCCCCAGCACCCAGGCATGCTTTGTATGACGAAGCCATTCAGATGTTACTGGCCTCTTTCATACCGCTTTGAAACAAGAACATTTAACCACATTTGGAGGAGCACGTCTGCATTTATGGTGTTAGTGTGCTCCTCAAAGGTCAAATGCAAATCTCCAAATGCCATATCACTGTAGCATATTCGGCTATCTGTCCTTTCAAACTCCTCAGACGTCTGAGGAACTCAATAACCACAGTCATTTTTTCTGTTACATTTTGCCTTGCAAAGATGTTCACTGTGGGAAATGAAACTTGGGCTTATAGACATATGACAGCGTACATGAGGTTTGCTTACCTGTTCAATGCATTTGCCCTACCTCTGACTCCTATGCATGCAATATTTTATATGCATCGCTTATTGTTAACTTTAAGTTAGAATATAAGCAGTGTACCTCATTTGATATTAAGGAAGAAGAGTTGTGGCCTCATTTGATATTAAGGAGGGTGTTGTGGCAGTATTGATTACAATATCAAAGCAAAACAATGTTAGCTGCAAAAGAGATTAAACTATCATAAAATATATTGCTAACATCATCAGCATTATATTCCAGAGTTTCAGTTTTTATAGTTGTACCTATTGGTTTTCAAGGCATTTGTGCTCCATAACGCAGCAGTAACATGTTGGATTCTTTGTGGAATGGTCGGTAGCTTTACCATTTGTCAAAAAGCTTTTGTTCATTACAAACATTTTATGCTTGAAACTCAAGAAGCATTTGCTATAATATGCACTTTTATGAGACTCATTAAGAATATTGAGCTCTTGTTGAAATGTTTGGAAATACCCCATACACTTTACAAGAATCCATTGTGTCTTTTAACAGTGCAATATGTCCAGAGTAATGACTTATTTGACTGCTGAGTCAGCCATATGACCTCCTCTCATACAGTATGACATCATGTCTCTTTTGTTAACAACTGCAAAACTGCATGCTCTGGGTGGATGGACCTTGCTACTGACATTTGTCTTAAAAGATGACATTGATAAGACACTGTCCACTCACTGCTTTTGGTTGTGAGAGAGTTGCATTAGATTGACCAGTCAAGTGGTGTAGGGTATGTCTGCATTTTCACTGAATTGTTTATTTCAGTGGGTGTTAGTTGGTTTTAAGTCTGAAATTCTTTGCTCCCTCATATTTTCAAGACCTCACCTAATCAATAAACCTGACCCCATGAATTCTCAAAGCAAACTGAATGCTTTAGGCTCTGTTGTGATATTTCTGTCTGTTAAATTGTGCATTTGCTCACTCATTTGTCTCTTTTAACACAATTGAACTTTTTTTTTGTTAAATAAAATTTGTTTGTGTTAATAACATTATGGACAGTAGTCATATAATGTACATGTTAACATGTCCCTCTTGAATATCGAACCAGACTTTCTACAATGGTCTTAGATTAATGATTCTGCTAACTAACTAAAATCCAACTGCCGCAAATAACAGCATGCTTTCCTGATGTTAATTTTATTTTTGTTGGCAACTTTTTTTTTATTGTATATTAAATGTGCTTATGGATTTATTGCACAATATTGCATAAAAAAAAATCAATGTATTGTAATTAAATTTTCCAAAATGAAAAGCAGTGACGTGTAAATGTTTTTAATCTTTTTAGAGCATTAGTTTTTGTAAATATTAAGTCAAAAGCTTCCATGGATTTACTGTAATTTTGTGTTTGTTTGGAACTCACTGTACATATGTGTGTTGAGAGATGCAAGTGCTTGGAAATTAGAAATGTCATTTTTTGATTTCTTAGTTAAAGCTGCACTACTTTTTTTTTTGTTAAAAATTATCCAAAATCAATTAAAAAAATGATCCAAAATCAAAGTACATAACCAATCAGTGTTCAAAACTTTCTCCTTACCAATGCACAACGGTAAGCTTCTAATAATGTTTTCTAATTTGAGTGGTTCGGGTCGGTTTCTGTGGGAAATACGAGTTTGTCGCCATTCATCTTTCATTCACGTCACGTCTGTATAAATAAAGAATTGCCGAAGGTGGCGATCATTTATAGCCTCTTCTTAGTAGCCTCTAACTTATTAAACGGTGCATGATGGTAATGAAAATGTAAATGACTGAAATTAGATTATATTCCAGTTTTAAATGTGCATCTAATTACAGATACGTGAGATTACACACTGAACTTACAAAATATTTGTATTTTAAAGAGAACGAGTTCTAAGGAACATTAAATTGCTTTTTGAGTTTAAAAGAACAATTTATTTTTTATGAAATTGTAATGGTATGACAATGTTGATGTTAACATTAACAATTTGAGAACAAAGTATAACAATAATAATTTGCACGGTTTGACGTGATTTGAGCTCACTTTGCTATTGTTAGATTTAATCAAATCACCATTGGTAGCACTATTTATTGTAATTTTTTTCAGGTGGTCAAAACAAAACTGGCAGACATGTTACTCATATGACATTTTCGGGGGCTACCTGTTTCCCTGACCAATAGCAGATGGGGGCGTGTTCAAAGAAACCTGTTTGAAAACAGTCACTTTTTTTGGCAATTCCATTTGTTGACGGTAGGGGTGCAGAAATCGCATTAAATTGCGTGTGTAATTTATGCACCCCTACCGTCAACAAATGGAAACTAAAAATATATTAGAGAAAAAAGCTATTAAATAAAAAATAAATAAAATTAGCAAATGGTAAAAACTTAACTATTTAATATAATTAAGTTCTTGAAGACTCAAATATAAAGGCCTATATAAAAAAGTGCACTGAATTCCTAGTTAAATTTTGCTAAGCAGTCTTCCTGTGCCTGATATACAGTTTTTTTCCCCTCCCTTGAGTATCGCCGACGAACCTGCATAAAAACATCTCTGAGCTTGTCGGTGTCCTCGGTACCACCACCCCGAAACATGGATAATCCATTCTGACCGCTAGACGAGAGCGGCTGTGCGTTGAGATCGCTCGTTCGGGGCTACGCCCACACTGAGCTCCTGATCCTAGGGCAGGCAGGCAGAGTGTAAAATGGCGCACAGCTGTCGGTGGCGGTTCCCTGCTCGGCCCGGAGGGAGCAGCAGCTCGGGCACCGGGAGGAAAGCGGGCCGAATTCGAGTCAATGCTTCCCTCCGAAACAGCGCGGGCACTAATCCGAACGCGAACGGGCTCGGGCCCGGTTTCGACGATGCGTTGCAAGTGTCCGCTGCCATCGGCAGCAACCTGCAGAAATTTCGGGATGTTTTGGGGGAGTCGAGCGGCTCCAGCAGCGGGGAGGTAAGTGGGACCCTGGCTAAAGCGTTAGCCTCATTCATGAGGGACTAATCCGAACGCGAATGGGCTCGGGCTCGGGCCCGGTTTCGACGCTGCGTTGCAAGTGTCCGCTGCCATCGGCAGCAGCCTGCAGAAATTTCGGGATGTTTTGGGGGAGTCGAGCGGCTCCAGCAGCGGGGAGGTAAGTGGGACCCTGGCTAAAGCGTTAGCCTCATTCATGATCAATGCAGGAATTAGAAATAACTCCGCGGCTGTGTAGCAGCTCTAAGTTGCTCAGTGAGGAGAGTGAGTGAGCTAGTTATTTTGCTGCGCAGCAGACACATGTCTCCATCCATGTGCTGTTTTTCTCACTATGGGACTACTGACAGGCTAAACTGCTAGCTAGCCCACATCAAAACATGTACCTATTCCTAACTAATGACTGATGTTGCTGTGCAGAAGTAGTCTGATGTCTATGTTGAGGCGTTCTAGCGTCATATTTTGGGACCCTGAGGAGTTTAGTACCATTTTTGACAGGATGGAGATGTGAAGCTAGATAACTGATGGCTTCTTTGGGTTGAACTTGTTTCAATTTGATTCGGAGTCTCGTGTGTTTTAATGTGACACCGCTTTTTGAATTTAAACACTCTGAAAGCACTTTTTAAGCTAAAAAGCGTTGAAAACACCCTGCTTAATGCACAGCTTGTGCCAAAAATTATGCGCTCAGAGATAAAGGATGAAGTTTAAAGATGGCACCTTTCAATCGCTCTGGTCATTTTAAATTGCGTTTTTCGCCCATAAAGAGATTAAATGATACCTTTTGATGACTCCATATTGGACGTCTGAGTTAGCTCACCGTGTTTCTTTCACCAAAAGACAACTTAGTTCAGAAGCCTGGTGGTGTATAACGGAACTTTCCTCTTGTAGAGAAATACACAGGTTGGGGTGTTTCAGTAAGCATAAACGAGCAAATTTTAGCAGGACTGAACACCTGGTGTCAGTTGGTTGTTGTTGTCTGAGCATTTAGCGATAGCACGCAGAGTGCATCTATCCCAGCTGCAGTCTGTTTGGATATTAAACTTCACTTTAAAGTATCGGCCTATATGAAAGCGTGGATTGCGCTTAGAAGATGCAATGCTCTGCTCCTAAAACTATTGTGGCCGTGCATGTGTGCACTTCTGATATTATTTTGTCTAGTTATTCATTACCCTCTAGCTCGGGTTGAGAAATGGATGATGCTAGTAGCATAAACAGTGCTGCTGTTAAAAACGCATCCTGGTGTGTTTTTTTGTTGCGGAGAATGGGGCGTAACGTTACATTCACAAATTGTTCATTCTGTTGCAAAAGTTTGCAGTGTGTAATTTTAAACCCATTGTGTTTGATCTCATTCACCCTCGAGAGGAGGCTGGCTAACGCGTTAGCCTGTTAGCACCCGCTGATGCACGGGAAAATGGGAGGTGGACATGTTTTTTTCCCTCACAGATATTGCGTAGTAGCAGTATGCAATCGAAAAAAATGTCACATTTGTCAGGAATCAAGTGATTCGTGTGCAAAACATCGCTGAGGCTACAGGGACCATATGTGTAGTCAAAGACGCCAAATGCAGTGGTTTGAGCGGTGCAAAAGGCGGCTGCAATAAAAAGGCAGTGTTTGACGGAGGTTGTTTTGTGTGGGGGTGTGTACTGTGATAAACTACCATCTTCCTTTCTCAGTAGTAGAGCGCTGCGCATCGGAAACACGGGGAGAACGAAACGAGAGCGGGCGCGAACCAGAAACATGCAAATATCGTGCTTGATTTTGTTTCGCCTACGGGTAATTTACCGTTTGAAAACGTGGCGCAGATTTAAGAGCGTCGAGATATGGTTATTAGACGTGACGTATTGAGGCGTTTTATATTTGTCTATTTATGTACGTATATACTGCACACTCGCCTTATTCACTCCTCTCTCTTATAAGGTTAAGATAAAAAAAATATGTAACAGTTAGGTCTTGTTCTTATTGCTTTAGTCTAATATTACTTGCTGTATGTGTTTGTTTGTTTGTTTGCTTGGTTTTTATTGTATTTGTGATATTTGCATTTTTGTAATTTAATTTTTGCCATGAAAATAGCCCCAGATGCTGACAAGGCATTAAATAAAAAAATATGTAACAGTTAGGTCTTGTTCTTATTGCTTTTGTCTAATATTACTTGCTGTATGTGTTTGTTTGTTTGCTTGGTTTTTATTGTATTTGTGATATTTGCATTTTTGTAATTTAATTTTTGCCATGAAAATAGCCCCAGATGCTGACAAGGCATTAAATAAAATTATATTACTACTACTATTGCTTTAGTCCAGTGATGGGCAAACTTGGCCCTTCCAGGCCACTTTCCTGCAGAGATTTGATCCAATCCTGATAAAACTCCCCTGCCTGTAGCCTTCTAGTAGTCTTGAAGACGATGATTAGCTGGTTCAGGTGTGTTTAATTAGGGTTGGAGCTAAACTCTGAAGGAAGTGGCCTGGAAGGGCCATGTTTGCCCACCCCTGCTTTAGTCTGTTTTGTGTACATTATATGTTGTGGTTTGTATGCCATGGTAAATCACTCACAATTGTACAACCGTTTGTTGTTTTTAAGGCACATTTATTTTAAATGTTTCTTTATAAGTCTAAATTAAATCAAAATATATTAATTTTAAATAGATCTTGTTCTTGTCATGTTATTGAAAACAATTGTTATTGTAGGCTTTAATCATGATGAATTTGCTCAGCCTCTAAAACAACTTTCCTTTTCTTGTGATGTCACTTAGGCCAAGCAGGCTACTGGATAATGTTAATTATGTTAACTATTAAGGCAACATTGTTTTGCCGTACTTTTATTCTCATTGAACATCCTGTTTCATTCATAAATATTCCCCAGTATAGAAGTCAAAAGGTTTGCAAATTACAATGTATGTTGACTTTAAGAAATGTCTTTCAAAATATCAACCAAAGCTTGCATTTTCTTTCCCGTGCTTTTATTGTGTGCGTTTGTAGCAGTTCTGTATGCTTTAATACACCCTTGGAGCCTTTTTGAAAAGAGCTCAATTAAAATGAATACATTTGTGAAACGTATAAGTAGTGTACAAGCCAGACAGACGGCTAAAATCCCAGCGGAGCTTGCAGCTCATGCGAGTTGCGGACACAGCATTGTAGTTTCATTCAGAGGGGATGTTGTGCCTGGGTGTAGGATTGTTCTGGTTCATCGCAGCCCGCTGAGCTCACAGAGCAGCCTAAGGCCAGTAGCATGCTCAGTAAACAGAAGCACACCGCCCCTCCTTCCCATCAGACCCAAAGCCAACAGCACAGGCCCACAGGGCTCCAAAAGGATTTCACTTCTGATGGCTGCCTTTTAGGCTACTTCATTAACTCATTTGGACGGCTTAAAATGTTTACATAGAGGTAATACATCTGCGTGATTTCTCGCAGCTCCAGAAAATGAAGCTGTTGATTTTCAGAACCACGTTCGAGATACTTTCGTCTAAATCTTAAGTGCAAATACAAGTCCATGGCTGCTTGCTAGACAACTGTTACTTTCAGGGGGTGTCCTGTTTAAGTCTCCATTCATCAGTGTCTTTGTGAGGGATGCCATTTGGCTTGCCTTTTAATGTCCAGAGTAAAGCCCCACTTACAGAAGCAGAATGAGGATCAATATCAAGGCCTGTTGAATGGATACAGCAAATGAATGCTTTGCTCCGCTGCTTTCTAATGAATGGCGTGGCCTATACGGAGGGAAGAAGTCCAGCAGGTGTTTGGCCTATTTATCTGGTGAGGGCCCTGTCCCCCAGACAGCATGTGGATCATTGCAGGAAGCTTTGTGTCTGCTTTTATTCCAGACTTTACGAAGTGCAGGCAGCTGAAAGAGCACAGACGTGGATATCAAAGGGTGAAGAGCAAGCCCTCCTCCCCCTGGGACAGCGCTGGGAGGGAATTAGACACAGGCCGTCCCATCCATGGCTTTATTCTGCTTTTGTAGGCGGGCAGAGGGGGTTTTGCCTCCCGCTTTCTGCTATGAGGGGGGCAGCAGCAGCCATTGAGTGCATGGAGCAATTCTCTCCGAATTTACGTCCCTCATTACACCTCGCAGGAGGCGCATCTTTGTTTTTATCTTAAAGCCACGGCTCCTCATTAGCGTGGGTGTAAGGTGTTGAAAGTTGTTTCAGAAACACAGTTTTGAGTGCATTGAATGTGGGTGCATGAGCAACATCAGAGCATTAGATCTGCATCTCACAAAGGGAAATTTCTAATGGTGCCTTTTGTGTTATGAAAGTGTTTTGAGAGGTAATAATAATCGAACTACTGGGGTCCCCATCAGTTTCATGTTTTCCCTGGGGGTTTTCAAGCAACCTAAAATATTTCTCATATGTGACCACGCAAAAGTGCTCTTTTACCGGTCACATGACCAGGTTTCTTTTGCTATGAGTTGTTGGGGGTTTGTAAATTTTCGCTGTGAATGCAATCAGTCTGACCCCATTTTAATGTTTTATGCTTTGCATTTATCTTTTATACAGGCATTTTTGAGGGAAACTGATGCCTCAGCAGTTGTCAAAACTTCACATTGTTTAGAAAATTGTGATTCAGTAAATTTATGAAGGGCCCCACTATCACATATCCCCAGGCTTAGAGATGATAATCAGTTACATGTCTTGATGTGGATATGTTGGCTTACTGTGATTATAGGGGTGTGTGTGTGTGTGTGTGTTTGGTATAGTTGGCCACACACACAGTAGTGCAATTATGTCCCGCTCTGAGGAGGGAGAGTTGCCAGGTTGCAGTGTGCTTGCCAGTTTATGCCCAGTTATAAGCGAACTGTAGATGTCATGTTGAGCAACTTTCCTGGGTTTGTGACCATCTGCTCAGAACAGGATGTAATGAGTTTATGTAAACAAATAGTCTTGTTTGCTTACCTTTTATTTACAGGAACTGAGAGGTGGCACAAAGAAGTACTTTATCTGCGCTTTTTAGAAAGGAGGATCCTGATTTATAATCCTGTCCCTCTGTTGGGGGTGCTCACATGTTTGGGGTGATCAGCCTTTTCAAAACCATGCATTCTTAAAACTCAAAAGTACAGTGGCCCTAAAAAAGTATTTGAAAATGTCAAACCAAGCTGCATCTGCAAACAAATGGTTGTAGAACTTTTTTTCAAAAGTAAGTCTTTACTTTTAACCAACTGGTCTGTTGGTTCAAAAGATTTTAGTGACTTTTATTATGTTAACTTTTATGTTAGTGACCACATCTTATTTTACTTTGACTTTTATTTTGAATTTTTTATTTTTATTTTGCAAATAGACCTATGGCAATTCTATATTTATTATTATTCATTACTTTAAAGTCTACAGAAATAGAGCACTTTTCTATTATTATTATTTTGCTTTGAGTTTTATTTTTCTTAAAGTGCTGTTTCTTTAAACAATAAACAAATAAATATGCTGTTCAGTTTTATTTTGCTTAGCTTTATTTTTCTTAAAGTGCTATTTCTTTAAACAATAATAAACAAATAAATATGCTGTTCAAAATAAAATTCTTCATTCTTTCTTTAAAGCCTTTTTTAGTAGAAGTTTAGCATTTTTCTATTAATGTTGTTGTTTTTTTGGCCTGTAGTTTATTTTAAACCCCCCCCAGTGGTTTGGGTAATAAAGATGTGGGAACAAAAATAAAGTAAGTAGACAATAACAAACAAATGTCTTTGTGTCACCCCCCTTCGCCACCACTATCTCTCCTCCCCCATCCTGTACTGGCAGCAGGTGCTCAGGCGCCTTGGCCGAGCCGAGTGTCACTTTCTCGAGCCCAGTATCGCCGCTCCCCCCTCCATCTCTGCTGTGGGTGTTGATTGAGCAGCTCCACTGGAGTGGTTAGTCAGGGTACTTGTGGTGTGTGGGTGTGCGTTTTAGATTAGCTTTTCATGTTTTAACTAATCTTTTTGTTTTGTGTGTTAAGTTTTGATGTATTGTATGTGTATAATGTTATGTCTGTCTGTATGTCCTCCAGGAGATTGATATTCTCCTGCCAGGATGGTGTTGTGAATAGGAATTCATTCTTAAATTACTTGCCTGGTTAAAGGTTAATAATGATAATGATAATAATTGTTGGCCTCTGAGCCTTTTCATCACTGCATCTTCACTCCTTGCCTTTATGGTCAGAATGATGCTCTGTACCCTGTTTCTCCCACCCTGCATCCCTCCATCCCTCCTCCCTTTCCTCTTGTCTTGGGATGTTGTTTACATCTTGCAGTGTGCCGCACGCACAAGGTGGAGGAGGGTGTGTGTGTGCGCAAGCGCGCTTTTGAGTGCCTGAGGCAGAGTCGTGCTGTCATTGAGAGCTACTCATGGTGTCACACTGACTTTGAGCTCCACTGCTTCACTGCTCACAGCTCTCTAGTACTCGATCACCTTCGGCACAACAGTAGAGCTGCAATGAAGTCATCGTAGCTCTGAGAGCCTGCATTCAAAAGAGCTGGAGGACAAAAATAAGACTGACAAATTCACTATCAATAAATGATAGGAGATTTATGTATATATTTTGTTGCCTTATCTGAATCAGCTCCTCGTTTTAATTTTACTGGTCTTTTCCCCATCAGTGATTGGATATGAAAAAAAACTCAAATAAGATGATCTGTTAACACTGATCATCTGATAACAGACTCTCATTTAATTTTGTTCTGCTTCCCATAAGAAATTTGTCGCCATATGTTGAAATTAAAGCCGAATGGGGTTTGTTAGAGAGATTGGACTTGTATGTGTGCAGTCTCCAGCGGCATCTGTTCTACAAACTGGACCGAAGGGAATTTAGCAGCAGCCCCACATGCTACTATAAATAAAGAATATGAAATGAAACGCCCCCTAAGGCTTGAAAATCAACACAATAGGATGTTTAAGGAACTTGCAGACATTAATCATCTTTTGAGAGGTAGGGCGTAGTGCATAGTGAAATGTTGTCAGTGCTTGTTCAATCTAATGAAGATCCATTTACACTGTAATAGTAGTAGTGGTAGTAACATGTAGCAAACTGTAAGCAAATTGTTGGGCACATTGGCATAAATGTATATTAAGATGCCAGTGTCACTTGCTCACTCTTTTCTGATGATTGGTTGATCTTATGTTTGAATCTTAGTTTAGTTTTCTCTAGTTTTCTGTTTCTGTTATGTGTGTAAATTAATTTCCTTCAGACCAACACTGCTACGGCCATACACATTGCAGATAGATGTCTTTTGGCCGTCACATTTTTATATGAGCGTTCTGCCATAAGCATTGTATTTAAGGCACTGTGTCAAGGTAAAATGGCCCAACTTACACATTTCAAACGTGTCTTGTAATGCTTTTACCCATTTCATTCTGCTCTGTCTAGCTGTTTTTCCCTCCTTTTTGTCCAATACAGGGCTTCCTTAAGATTGAATACTTGATTATTTGATCTTGAAAATGTAATTTTGCACAACTCTATTTCAGAATTCGTAGTTGCAGGGAATTCCTTTTGATGCGCTGCCAGTTTCAGTTAGGTCCATAAAATCCTTTTAAATGCTCTGTGGAACTGGTCTCTCTCTGCGCGCGCACACACACACGATTAGGCTTTCTCTCAGTGTGTGTCCTTGTGAGTACAACTTAATTCACACCAAGGACACTTCAATGACTGAGACATTTTTATCACAACATAAAACAACGCGCCCAGCTGCAGAGCAGACAGTAATTACAGTAATTATCTGCATTGTAAGCCTGTTGAAATATCTGATAAATGTGGGAAATGTGGCTGACTTAAAGGGATATGGAGCGTTTAAGTTGACTCAAAAATGGATTTGGAATTATGGCTTACCTAAAATGTTGTGACAGAATTAGATCAGGAAGGCAAGAGCCCAAATGGGCCATGTAATCAGCATTCCTCCTTGTATCCCTCATGTCAGGTGTGCGATAAGCACAGGGCTATCATAAAAGCCTGGAGATTTATAAAATCCTATCATAGGACGTCTGCAAAGCTTAGCCTGTTTGATTGAGGGAGGTGGAGCAGTTGTCAGGCGATACGGCCATTGCAACAGATGTCCTGACAGTGAGATCAGCGCTGATGTCATGCAGCCTAGCGACAGCATCTGCTAAGGATACCTGAGTGGAATTGGTGGAACTGGTCATCTCCATAGGAGGTGCCATCGCAGATGAGATTGTTACTTTCTCAAGTTGTAGGTAGAGCACAGAAAATGGTTTGCCTACTTTTGAGTAAAGTCTTAAAAGTCTGTTGCTTTGGGCAACCTGGCAAGTAGCTGCCAGGCTGAAAATTGAACATTTAGGGTACAACCAAATCTTGCATTATAAAGTTTGCACTCAGGTTTTCTGGCCTGTTTTAGTTCCATGCTGTATCTTAATTCATTAGGGTAACTGAGCCTGATCTCTTGGTGATGCATTATTGTGTTTTTATTAAAAAGGTCATGTTTAGGCTACACTGGATGTTGTTTTGAACAGATGGTGGGTAAACAAATGACTGAAATATGCTCCTTGAACTAGAGGCTATGACAATTAGATATTATGTAATATAGAGATCGACTGATATATCAATTTACCGATATTTTCCCGATATTTAAGCATTTTACCATAATCTGATATCGGTTTTGTAATATCGGATTACCGATAAATGCCGCCATCTTTGGGGTGTTTAGAGAATTGCGCCCAGGATTGCCATTGCAGTGCGTCTGAGGGGAGACGAGACAACAACAACGGCATGGTGCAGGTACTTGATTTGCTATAGTTAGTAAACTTTATTTAACATAACAGCCATTTATGCACAAATTAGATGCATTACATAGATGCCTGATATGTAGTTTATGCAGCTTGGCTCTAAGAAATAGAGACCAACTCACGGAGTCGTGTAAAATAATCTGTCAAGTCCTGTCCCAGTAAAGATGTAACTTTGCCTGAATTAAATAATATGCAGCCATGAATGAGCGCATGTTGGAAATAAAAGCGCTGAATTGAATTCTCTCTCTGTTGTCTACCTACTAAAACTGTAGTTTAAAATGAAGTTGATATGACTCCTGTCCTTTATTTATTTTCTCCATTTGAAAACATTAGACATTATACATTTATTTTGCTTACTGTTAATATTAATGTTGTTGCTGTTGATGCTTTTTATAAATAAAATGTTTTTTTATTGTTGTAATATGAAGATTAAATTTAACATGAAAGACTGCTAATTTTCAACACTTAAAAAAAAAAAAATATGACTGAAAAGAGGAAAAACCAAAGTGAAGTGTGTTCTTACTTCACTCAGTCATTTATTTACTTTATAACAGTAAATAAATATCGGTTCTGCATATCGGTTATCGGGCACATAAACATGCAAATAATTGGTATTGGTATCGGTTATAAAAAATCAATATCGGTCGATCACTAATGATAATTCAAATAACAGGATGGGAACGTATTGCATTTTCAGTCTTGTCAAATGTGTTTTCATCCATAAATTCACTATGGACAGCTAATGTTTTTTTTTACCTCAACACTTGACTCCAGAGCTGTCAGCAACTGTTCGGTGGTTTCAGGATGAGAATTGCTAACATTGAGTGGTCTCCTGGCCTCAACATTTTCTTAGTCATGAGATGGAGTGTAGCAAAACTGAATGTCTTATTCGACAGTAGCATGTTTGATTTTGTGGATGCTCATTTAGAAAAAAATTAATCTCTTAAGGTTAAATCACACTGAACCACTGAGTTAACTGAATCTCTCCCTTTTTTCATTTTAATTTCTTTAGGAGGAATTTGGAGGCTTCAGCACAGTCAGTGACAACAGAAGAATACATAGCCCAGGAAGGACGTCAATAGGTAAAGTATCTTTTACATCTCTAATTCTGTCTCTCTCCAACTGTGTTGTAGAATAATTATAATTGGGACCTTGTAAGATCTAACTTGCTGTTTTTCTCAAGTGTAATTGAGATGCATTGTAACATTTAAACTAGGGCTGTGCGATTAATCGAAATCATCATAAAATCGCGATTTGAGCATGTGCTAAAGCACGATTTTCCACGCCCCCGACCTCCTGCAGTATGCTATCCGAACCAATCAGAATGCAGCGCGCCTAAATGGAGCACGAGAACAGAACAGGCCGGGCGGGCATACAAACGTAACACCAGGTTCACGCACTCCGTCTGTGGTGCGTATTTTGTCCATGCCCATGTTAACGGATCAGAGCGTTCACACTGCATGCGATTGCGGTCCGGCAGTGCGCTCCAGGAGCGGTGCGTCTGCAGCAGTCATGCTGCGCCGCGATAAGTTTTTTTTTGTCCATATCGCACAGCCCTAATTTAAACATGAAAAAATGTAGAGCTTATTAATGGAGTGCTTTCTCTTTGTGTCAGGTTCTATCTCACCGGAAAAAAAACCCAGAGGACGTCCTCCTAGGGCTCTAGCTGCGCAGAGGGTTGGCACTAATATTGAGACAGCCCCTTTGCGTCTCGCCACAGCTCCTACAGAGAAGGTAAAACGACCACCAGGGAGGCCTCCTGGCACTGGAGAAAAAAGAAGAGGCCGCCCTCCTGCTTCTGCCAGCCAGAGGAGCTGGCAACAGAGCGGCCATGCACTCCCTGAAGAGGATGGGGATGCAGAACAGGAGTGCAGCTCCAGTCCCACACACCACAAGGACGGTGTGGAGGACGAAGACAAGGAGAAAAGGCAAACTCTGCTTGGGTCTGGGCACCATCAGGGATCTGAGGCTAAGCTTCACAAAATCAGCCGGGAGTCCAAGGTGACCAAACTGAAAAGATTGCGGGATGTCAAACTGAGCCCACTGAAGTCTAAGCTGAAGGCCATTGTGAGGAAGAGTGTCCCAGTTCCTGGTTCTGGTGTGCAAAGACGGAGGCGGGGCAGGCCACCTTCTGCCGAGCGCCTCAAAGCTGAAGCTGCTGCTGCTGCTGCTCAGGTTGCTAACGCCTCCTCGTTCCAGGAGATGTCCACCAGGGCACCTGGGACTACCAAACATAAGGACTTCAGGGTTCGTCGGGCACAAGATTTGGGTACCTGCACTCCACATGATCTCCAGCTCAGGGCTTCTCATCCTGCTGATGAACGCACTAGCCCAGATCCCCATGACTCCCCTACAGTCAACCCAATGACCCCAACTAAACACGGGAGGCCATTAGGGTTACGTCAGAGCCCTCGCCATATCAAACCTGTGCGGGTCGTCCCTCCCTCCAAACGCACTGATGCCACTATTGCAAAGCAGCTGCTGCAGCGGGCAAAGAAGGGGGCCCAGAAAAAGAAACTATTGGAAAAAGAAGCTATTGGCACCCACGGAACTGCAGGTCTTGAGGGTGGGAAGCACAGGAGACGAACACAGCTAACAAACATCAGGCAATTTATCATGCCTGTTGTGAGCACAGTGTCGTTGCGCATCATCAAGACTCCAAAGCGGTTTATCGATGATGAAGGCAGTTTCAGCACTCCACCACCACACATGAAAATAGCTCGATTGGACTCTGCAGCATCTGCCCCAGCACCTCAGCCCATAACATCACCCACTCAAGCTCTTGTTTCCACAGCTCCCTTCACAAGTGGAACCACTGCCACACCCGGAGCAGGGCCTGCTATTGACTCTCTCCCTCCTCCCCCACCTCCTGTTCCGACTGGCAGTGCCAACAACATTGCAGCCATTCTTCTTAACAGCGGTTGCAACAATAGCACAAGCAATGGGCGATTCAGTAGCAGTGCTGCGTCCTGTGGCTCCAGCGCTGTTTCGCAGCATTCCTCTCAGCTCTCTTCTGGCGAGTCGTCTCGCTCCAGCAGCCCTAGTCTTGATGACTCCTCCTGTGATTCCCAGGCCTCTGAGGGCACCCAGGCTCTCTCAGAAGAGGCAGATAATTCCCCTGCCTCTCAGGGAGAGACAGAGGCCAGCATGCACCACGCCTCGCACCCACCATCACCACCATCCGAGCCAGAGCCAGACCATGTAGTGTTGATGGAGCGCAGCAGGCGGGGTCGCAGAGGTCAGAGTCATAGGCGGGGTGCTTTAGTGGCACGTGGTAGGGGCAGCCTGATTGGTGGAAGGAAACAAGCCATCATCAGCCCAGCCACAGGGGTTTCACAAGCTGGGTCTCAACAAGCCTCTTCTACGGCATCATCATCCTCATCACCACCACGTCCTCCTCTTCTCAGTCCTCCTCAGCCTCCCCAGGCAGGATCATCTGAGCATCACTCCCACTCTCCATGGATGATGTCACATTCCATTGCCCCTTTTCTGTCCACCCCTCCAATACTCTCCAGCTCTCACGATAAACGTCACTCCATACTACGAGAGCCCACTTTCCGCTGGAAGTCTTTGTCATGTGCTGAAAATAAGTACTTCTCCTCTGCCAAGTATGCAAAGGAGGGCCTTATCCGCAAGCCCACTTTTGACAACTTTCGTCCTCCTCCACTGACTGCTGAGGATGTGGGCCTCATGCCACCAGGACCTGGTGGAGGTGGTGTTGCACCAGGAGGATTCCCAGTGCCTGCTGGTGCAGCTGGGACAGGTTCCAGACTTTTCTCCCCCCTGCATCATCATCCTCACCACAATCACCACCAGCACCCCTCGTCGCGGTTTGAAACGCCACTTCAAAAGCGCAGCCCCCTACTACGCCCCCCTTTCTTCAATCCAAGTCCGGCTCATTCCCGCATCTTTGAGTCGGTCACCCTCCCATCCTCTTCAGGAAGCAGCCCTGGCTCTCTTTCCCCCCTTCAGGTCTCACCAACATCAAACAAAAAGAGAAAGGGGTCTAGGTTCTCACGTGGACAACCCAGGTCACCCTCACACTCTATGACTACCAGGAGCAGTCAGTCAGGAGTTCAAACAGGGAAGGCCTCTGAACAATCCATGATTAGCAGTTCTGTTCCCATAAGTGTGACTGGGAATTCCAGCCCATTGCCTGGAGTCGCAGTCAGTCCACTTGCTGCCAGTGCCTTAACACAAGCTTCTTTCAGTGGCTTCCCCTCAGGCTCCATTGGTCTTACGAGCCACAGAGTTTCCGATGGGCGGCGAGCAGCAGGGGGTCTCGGTGTGAGTGGGAGCTCTGCTTCATCTTCACAGCTCTTCCCTCTTTTTACCCCCAGTAATCAAGGATCAGGTGGGGGGACTGGAAAAGCAGGTAGGGAACGGAGCGTCTCTGCTACTAGAGACACAGGTACAAAGGAGAAGGACAGGGAGATGGAGAAGAATAGAGAGCGTGAAAAGGAAAACAAAAGAGATGGAAGGAAAGACTGGGATAAAAGAGGGAAGAGTCTTCCATCGGAGGATTCTACATCTAGCCTCTTTGCAATGGAGGCCAGGGACATTGCAGAATCTCTCACCCAAAAAAGGACACCTGGTCGAAAGAAGTCAGTCACAGTTGACTCTGGTGCAGAGGCCTCCCCAAGTGACTCTACAGCAGTTGAGCCTGTTGGGCCCTTGTCCTCAAAGGGTCGTCTGGCCAAAAAAGGCAGACCTTCAGAGAGGAGTATTGAAGCAGAGGGAGTGGAGAGGGAGAAGGATAAGGAGAAATTGAGTGCTCCTACCCAAGCAGGGCAGATGGGAAAACCCCCTGCCACCACATCACTGGGCTCCATGTTAGCTCGTGCCGAGAAACAGCCAGTCACAGACAGGCGTGTCGCAGGACTGCTGAGAAAAGCTAAAGCTCAGCTCAATAAGATAGAGAAGAGAGAGGTACAACCTGGCGATCAACCTAAATTACCGGTATGTCCTGTCTTTTGCTGGCCCCTTTGCTTTGAAAAATGTTCCCAGGTTGTTTTTCCCAAAGGCACAGAAGGCAATTTCCATGTGTTTGTTTTGTGCAGGGTCAAGAGAGTGACTCTTCTGAGACATCAGTTCGTGGTCCACGCATTAAGCACGTGTGTCGTCGTGCAGCTGTAGCTCTGGGTCGCAACCGTGCTGTGTTCCCAGATGATATGCCTACACTTAGTGCCTTGCCATGGGAGGAGAGAGAAAAGATCTTGTCTTCCATGGGAAATGATGGTGAGAGAACATCTTAGAACTAGTTTGTTTTTTGTGTGTGTGTTTCATTGTTTGTAACCTTTTAATGGTGCTTGAATAGATAAATCATCAGTGGCTGGATCAGAGGAGGCGGAGCCACCCACACCTCCTATTAAGCCAGTAACAAGGCAGAAAACGGTCCATGAGGCCCCACCCAGAAAGGGCCGGCGCTCTCGACGCTGCGGGCAGTGTCCAGGCTGCCAAGTCCCAAATGACTGTGGGGTCTGCACTAACTGCCTGGATAAGCCCAAATTTGGGGGACGCAATATTAAAAAGCAGTGTTGCAAGTAAGTTTGAAATCTTTTTATTGTGGGTTTCAAAACCGTTGCACCTTAATAGTGTAATTGCCCCTTAAATCTTTGTGCTTGTGTCATCACAGAGTACGGAAGTGTCAGAACTTGCAGTGGATGCCATCAAAGTTTCTTCAAAAGCAGGCAAAAGGTCAGTTTTCTGAGAATACTTTTATAAGTCAGAGATGTTCTTATGTTTCAATTAATTGTCTGTTTGCATCAACAACAGGTAAAAAGGACAGGAGGAGGAATAAATTGTCTGAAAAAAAGGATTCACATCACAAATCCCAGTGTTTTGAAGCAAGCCCCAAGCCAGCCCCTCCTCCAAAAGATGACCCTCCCCATAAGAAAAGTGAAACTCCACCGCCTATGCAGGGAGAGGACAAACAAAAGCAGGCACAACCTTCAGCACCATCCTCACCAGCTTCCTTCCCAAAGGACCCTCCGCTCTCTAGTCCTTCTGATGACCCCAAGCATTCTCAAACCCCTTTGAACTCAGCCTTTAGAAAGGAGCGGAAGCAGCAGCCCAGTTCTTCACCCACCGCTGTACACATTGCCCCATCTTCCCCACCAGCACAGTCCCAGCAGTCCTTGCAGCAGCAAAACCAAGTGCCAGCAAAAAAGGAAGGTCTTGCAAAGCCCCAGCCCACTGAGCCCAAGAAGAAATCACAGCAAAAAAGTCAACCCAGTTCTGGCACAGACACAGGTAAAGGGATGAGGAGATAAACTATATGTATGATTTACTGTTGGTAACATAACACAGTGGTGTCCAATCCTGCTCCTGGACAGCCACCTTCCAGCCTAAGATTGGACACTCCTGACTTAAAGGGTTAGTTCACCCAAAAATGAAAATTAGCCCATAAATTACTCACCCTCAAGTCATCCTAGGTGTATATGACTTTCTTCTTTCAGATGAATCCAGTCGGAGTTATATATAAAATGGTCTGTGATCTTTCAAGCTGTTTAATGCCACTCAGCGGGTGTTGCATGCATCCGTCCAAAAGCAGTTAAATAAAATGCGCCCATCCATTTAAAAAAAAGTGTCTCACACGGCTCCGAGGGTTGAACAAAGGCCTTCTGTAGTGAATCGATGCGTTTTTAAAGCAATTGTTCGTTTTTAGTTCGTTTGAATTTTTCCTCTTTTCCTCGCTCTCCTTCGCTTTTAAATAGCTTAAAGGCTCCGTGCGCATTTTACTTTCACTTTTGAATTAGCGGCAGTTCAGCATCAATTGCTTGAATGCAACAACAAAATACAACGTCAACTCACTTTAGTCTGTCTATATATAAAACATAACTTTTATTAACAAAACAAATAAAAATATACCATGCTATAGGGCAGGCTATGCCTAATATAAAATAACAACTTACATAAAGTTTAAATAGGTATCCAAAACTGGAAATAGGCTAAGTAAACATGTATATATATAACCAAATAAATAAGAAACGTAGCACGTTTATTAGCAAAACGAGTAAGAAAGCTTGGTCAGTCAGCTCGACTCACTCTCCTCACTGGAGAAATGAAATCTGATCTGTGATGCGACTGTCCTTCGGCACGCTGCATTGAGCAGCCGCGTTCAGTTTTTAATTGTAGTGTCTGTTCTTTTACTGAACTAAATTATTTTTATTACTATAAAAAAATCAGAACGACGGTGGGGGTCGGTGCCGCCGGTGGGCAAGTGACGTAACTGGTGTTGCGGCTTAACACTGGTATCACCGTCAACACCGTCTATCGCGGCAAGCCTAACCTCCATACGTCATCCACCCAGAACTGCTTCCCTTTACAACAGTGAGCGCAAGCTAGATTAAATTGATTATTACGTTTTGAATATGGATATTTTTCTTACAAAAACGCATCGATTCGCTACAGGAGGCCTTTGTTCACCCCCCGGAGCCGTGTGAGACACTTTTTTCAATGGATGGGCGCTTTTTATTTAACTTATTTTGGACTGATGCATGCAACACCCGCTGAGTGGCATTAAACAGCTTGAAAGATCAAAGACCATTTTTAATATAACTCCGACTGGATTCATCTGAAAGAAGAAAGTCATATACACCTAGGATGACTTGAGGGTGAGTAATTTATGGGCTAATTTTCATTTTTGGGTGAACTAACCCTTTAACATAGCCTTAATGTTTTTGTTTTATGGTCATGTCATCTTTTAGTATCCGAAGCAAAGCTAAAGAAACAGTCCACTCGATGTGTTCAACCACTCAAGCCTAAACCAAAAGAAAAGGTAAGCAGATATTCCAGGCACTTTTGTATTATTTTATACCTTTTTTTATTAAAAAAAGCTTTGTCTCTTGCTTCTCCCCCCTCTAGATAGTGATAACATTCTTTATGGTGTTGATATTCCTGTGAATCATAGCACAAGCGATGCCAAGGTTACAGGTTCAATTCCCAGGGGATGCACATACTAGGGCTGCACAATTAATCTAATTTCTAATCGCGATTACAATTATGGATGCCACAATTACGTAATTGTTCAAAGCACTTAAGGGTTTTTCCCATTATTTTAATTTTAGTTTTAGTTTAACATTATAATTCAATTCATATTTTTACTTTTTAATAATTTAAAGAAGAAACCAATCCGATGTTTAGTTGACATTTGAGGCTTAATACTATAGAAAAGCACTAAATGTTTTTCAGTTAGAGTGTTTTCAGCTTGTTTATTTTCATATAAAACTACGGCATGCAGTTGCATAAAACAATGGTATAAACATCATTCAATGCAAGTTGTGATAATCATAATTAATACTCGCAATTACAATTTCAAGGGAATAATTGACAATTATGATTTTTGTCAATCGTGCAGCCCTAGCACATACTGATAAAATTTACCTTGAATACACTGTAAGTCACTTTGTAAAAGCATCTGCCATATGCACTGATGTAATGTAAATGTCTGTTTTTTATTTATTTTTTTTTACAGGAGAAACAGATACCGAAATGTGACAGCAGTACTTTAAACTCCAAGAGCACTCCTTCGAATAGGGGCTCCACCAAGCAGAAAGCGCCCTGCGATGGAGTGCATCGAATCAGAGTAGATTTCAAGGAGGACTATGACATTGGGAATGTGTGGGAGATGGGTGGGCTCAGCATTCTCACCTCTGTGCCAATCACCCCACGGGTGGTGTGCTATCTTTGTGCCAGCAGCGGTAATGTAGAGGTGGGCTATATTTTGTTTGTAATTCATGATGAACTGAAAGCACAAAAATGATGGGATATGTTCTTATGGTTTTTCGTCTTCAGTTTGTTTTCTGCCAGGTGTGCTGTGAACCCTTTCACCTCTTCTGCTTGGCGGAGACAGAACGGCCCCATGAGGAACAGTGGGAGAACTGGTGTTGTCGCCGATGCCGCTTTTGTCATGTCTGTGGCCGGCAGTATCAGAAAACCAAAGTAAGACTTTCTATTCAGTTGCCATTGTGTCACAATATAGATCAGAGACACTTTAGAGTTAAGAAATGTATGCAGAAATGCATTACAAAAAATTTTACTCTTTTTTTTTTTTTTTTTAATAAGTGAGACTAATGGAAGTATTTCTATGCAAGTAACTCAATGACAGGTATTTTGCATGTTTCAAGGTTTGCTCCTAAACAATTAAAGACCGTTGAGGACACTTTGATTTAGTATTTCAGAGTCTCTGATCATGGGAACAGTAAAGTGCTTCCAACAATAACAGAATTGGTTTTAAAGGAAGAGAGTGTTGGAACAGAGGGAGGAAAGTATTAAAACCTTCAGATTTAATGGGAATAAGTTTTAACATACTACAGTAACCAGTATATTATGAGACATATTTATGTAATTGTTCACACTGAGTTTATTTCACACAGTGTTAAGTTATATGACCATCAGATCTGAAAGGATGGGATGCATTCTGATGTAATGGTTAAAGATAAATGGTAAAGTTTAATATTCAAAGCATGAGTCAGCTTGGATCACAAATGATGAATGTCCTCATTTGGTATGTGCTAGTGAAAAATACCTCCTTATGAAAGGCAAATGCTTGTCAGCTCTCTGGAATTATCATTTCCTTTTGGTACACTTGATGACCGACTAAGCAACTTCCAAGTTTGGGCTTATTTCTCTCTAAAAGCCCCTAGGCGCCTCCGAAACCTTCATAAATGACAAACACTCAATACCCAGATGGAATCAAAATTTAAAAATTAATTTTTTTAATCCTCTAGCAGCTACTGGAGTGTGACAAGTGCCGAAATAGCTATCACCCTGAGTGCCTGGGACCCAACCACCCTACCAGACCCACCAAGAAGAAAAGAGTCTGGGTACTTACACACTCTCAGTCTTAATGTCTGTAACATCTGTGGTGTTTTTGCTGCATTCTCCCATAATTATTTTTCCTTCTGCCACAGATTTGCACCAAGTGTGTGCACTGTAAGCGCTGTGGAGCCACCAAACCAGGGAAGGCCTGGGATGCTCAGTGGTCACATGATTTCTCTTTGTGTCATGACTGTGCCAAACTCTTAGCTAAAGGTCAGTGCTATTCATTCTGGATGTTTATTCTATGCCTTTAAACTATTACTAAACTGTGTAATTTTTTTTTTTCTTTTCCTTCCCAGGCAACGTCTGCCCGCTCTGTAATAAGTGCTATGATGACGATGACTGTGATAGCAAAATGATGAAGTGCAGGAAGTGTGATTGCTGGGTCCATGCAAAATGTGAAAGTTTAACAGGTGAGTTATCAGTTTTTCTCCATATCTCTTATCTTTCACGTGATATTATATGGCACCATGAGATTAAACTAACAATCTAACAAAATCAACTAATATTTGGTTGATTTTAATTACAGAAGATTTGTTTAAATGTACACTACTGTTCTAAAGTTTGGGGTCTGTAAGCAGGGGGGGAATTCACAGAATCCTGGAAAAAATGTTTCATGGTTTCCACAAAAGTGTTAAGCAGTTAAGTGTTTTCAACATTGATAATAATAAGTGTTTCTTCACAGCAGCATATTAGCATGATTTCTGAAGGATCATGTGACACTGAAGACTGGAGTAATGGATGCTGAAAATTCGGCTTTGCCATCACAGAAATAAAGTTTTTAAAATATATTAAAATAGAAAGGTTATTTGAAAGTGTAATAAGCCCTCATAAGATTACTGTTTTTACTGTCGTTTTGATCAAATAAATGCAACCTTGTTGAGACTTTAAAAACATTTGACTTTTTTTTTTTTTTAACTAACTTTTTTGTATGGTAGTGCAAATCTTAAGTTAAGATCTGATAGGTGGACATGCTTGCTAAACAGAGAAGAAAGCATTCTGCAGTGTGGATATTTCTGTAATACTACACTCCAAACATGATCTTTCCTTTTTTATATTTAGATGATATGTATGAGCTCTTGTCTAACCTGCCTGAGACCGTGGCCTACACCTGCGCAAACTGCACTGAGCCCCATCCTACTGAGTGGCGCACTGTCTTGGAGAAAGAAATTCAGAAGTCCATGCGGCAAGTTCTCACTGCCCTTCTCAACTCTCGCACGTCTACTCACCTGCTTCGCTACAGACAGGTGAGTTGCCATCTGGAGTCCTAGAAGTTCCCACCAGCTTTATTTTCACTACTTAACCTACTGATCGATTTTCTTTGTCTCAGGCGGTTATGAAGCCACCTGAGCTGAACCCAGAGACAGAAGAAAGCCTTCCCTCACGCCGTTCCCCAGAGGGCCCTGACCCCCCTGTGCTGACGGAGGTCTCTCCACCTAATGATTCACCGCTCGATTTGGAGTCTGTGGAGAAGAAAATGGCTTCTGGATGCTATAAATCTGTGGTAAGAGTTTGAGTATCTCCTTTTTGAATTAGTTTAAAGTAAAAAAGGTAGCTTTTATGTTTCTATTCTTCTTTGAAAGATTACCTGTCGCGTTTTGAGCCTCTATTGCAGCAGGGTTCAGATGCCGGTCACATACATGTGAGAGCCAGGTGTCATTTTCTGCTTCTCTTATTTAGCTGGAGTTCAGTGATGACATTGTGAAAATCATCCAGACAGCCATCAGTTCAGATGGAGGTCAGCTAGAGAGCAGGAAGGCCAACAGCATGCTCAAGTCCTTTTTTATTCGGGTGAGAAAAAGCTGGTGGACACACAGTTCTGACAATAGAATATCTTGCAATCCTACATCATTATTTCTAATTGCACTGTCACTGTTATTTGTTACAGCAAATGGAGCGGACTTTTCCATGGTACAAGGTGAAGGAGTCCAAATTCTGGGAGACACGCAAAGTCTCTCCAAAGTGAGTCTTTCCCATGTCTATTTAATGCTTTGTTTCAATTTGTTTGCCGTTTTAATTTTGACTGATCATTTTATTTAAATTCTTTTGTCAAAAATAATTTTCAGAAATAAATTAAGGAACAAACTATATGTTTAGTTTGATAGTGAATAGAGGGACCAGTTAAGCTAGTTTATGAGCATCGAGAACAAACTCACCACTGAGTGTCTGTCTATTCTTTGCTCTCCTCTAGAGCAGAAATATCACCTTTCCATAGGGAATGCAGCCTCTATGGTCTAGTTCCATTGTTTGAGGTCGACAGGCAGTGTCACATTTCACATGGGTGCTTTGACAAGTCTTGTGGTTGGCATTTGGTTTGCTTGTTTGTATACTTCATTTGTTGCCATGAATTATTAACAGCAGTGAAGCAAAGTTTTTTTTTGTTTGTGTGCATGCATGCCTGACATTCAATACTGTCTCTTTAAAGAGAAAACACAAATATTTATGTTATTTCCCTTTGGAGTTATGGCTATCAGATTATGAACTTTGTCATTGGCACCTTATTTCTGAATGAGCCTACACTACGGTTCCAAAGTTTGGAGCTCAGTAAGATTTTTTTAAATTATTATTTTCAAAAGAATTTAATCGTTAATTCAGGAAGGATGTATCAAACTTATAAAAAGTTGGTATAGACATTTTATAATGTTACAAAAGATTTCAAAGATCAAGTCAGTGCTGTTCTTATAAATGCTTTAATCAAACACTAATGTTATGTAACAAAGACATGGCTAACAAGGCATTGTTGTATCTTTGCAGTAGTGGACTTCTTCCCAATGCTGTGTTGCCCCCTTCTTTGGATCACAACTATGCCCAGTGGCAGGAGAGGGAGGAGATAGCCAGGGCTGAGCAGCCTGTGCTAATGAAAAAGATCATCCCGGCTCCCCATCCTAAAGCACCTGGGAAACCTGACTCCCCGATTGCCCTCACACCACCTCCTCCTCCACCCATGCTTATCCATGGTGAGAAAGTCGCTTTTAAGCACTATAAACACAAATGTGTATAGGAACTACTGAGATGGTACATTGTGTGTTAGAGTTAAATAATTACATTTTCTGAACTGAGAAAAAGATATCGAAGAGAGAGTTAAAGTGTGTTGATAAGTTACACAGGAATATTTCTTTTGTGTTCAGACCACAGCCTTGAAGAAAGCCCTGATATTCCCCCTCCTCCTGGTGTAGGTGACAACAGACAATGTGCGCTTTGTCTGAATTATGGAGATGAGAACACAAATGTGAGTAATCATCCACCAAAAAGAATGCATTAGCATGTACAGATGTCAATTTATACTGTATTTCAGTCATGATCATTTTGTCAGATATTGTATGGTAATTTGTTTTCTAGGATTGTGGGAGACTGCTTTATGTTGGCCAGAATGAGTGGACCCATGTGAACTGTGCACTGTGGTCATCCGAGGTGTTCGAAGATGTTGATGGTGCACTCAAAAATGTCCATATGGCAGTCAGGAGAGGCAAAAAGCTGGTGCATAATCTAAGCCATGTGCCGTGTTTGTTCATTAAATTACAATGCCGTAATATGCATTTGTGTAATTATTTTTGTTACCAAACAAGCCTATTAAAAAAAGACTATATGCAACAAATCTTTCCGCATCCAAAAATAGATTGCATTATGCTTTGTTTTCTCAGCAATGTGAGAATTGTCACAAACCCGGAGCCACGGTGAGTTGTTGTCTGACGTCCTGTACCAACAACTACCATTTCATGTGTGCACGTCAGCAGCAGTGTGCCTTTTTAGAGGACAAGAAAGTTTACTGTCAGCATCACAGAGATCTCATAAAGGGCGAGGTATGGAATGATACATGCAAGCAAGTAATGCACTAATGATTACATATTTGTTGTAAAGTGTTGGATTTATTGCAAATAACTAACCTTTTTTTTAAAGGTGGTGTCAGAGTCAAGCTTTGAAGTTACTCGGAGGGTCCTTGTGGACTTTGAGGGAATCAGTCTGAGAAGAAAGTTTGTTAATGGGCTTGAACCAGATAACATCCACATGATGATAGGTCTGTATGTCTTTGTGGGGTGCTTGTCGTTGATGAGTAATAAAGTACAATACATCAAAATTAAATAGCACATTTTTTGGTACAGGGTCTATGACCATCGACTGTCTTGGTATGCTAACTGAACTGTCCGAATGTGAGAGGAAGTTGTTTCCTGTGGGCTACCAGTAAGTCTTTGAAATTATAGTATTGTATTTAAATAAACATAAGACATAAAATGGAGTAACCACCTGATGTATTTACACAGATGCTCAAGGGTCTACTGGAGCACTCTAGATGCCCGCAAACGATGTGTCTATAAATGTAGAATTTTAGTGTGCCGCCCCTCTATGACTGAAACTATCAATAACACAGCAGCTCAAGAAGAGAACCACACAATTGCTCATAGTCCTCCACCTCTTTCAGGTAAGCAGATTTATATTTGTTATTGTCATGCCAACATTTTGTTGGAATTTTAAAAACGAATCATTATTAAACATTTCAGCTGAAGTGGACACTGCTTTGCCTGGACCCACAGATTCCATAAAACCATCCAATGTGCCTTTCACACCAAAACCAAGGGTTTATTTTAGGAACAGACACCCCAGTTACCCACCATGTCATCGTTCTCCCTCAACCAGACCACTTCCCTCCCCAGGTAGGAGTTATATACATTTAAATGCTTATATTTTATATTGCTTATATTTTATAACTCCTTTTTTTAAGGCTTTTGTGAATGTTATTCAATGTGTTTTCCCCCCATTAGATGGTTTCAGTAGTTCAGCCCATGAAATTGTGACTGTGGGGGACCTTCTGCTGAGCTCCACTCTACAAAGCATTGGATCTCGTCGACACAGCACTTCCTCCATCTCTGCTCAACAATCTAGGCAAGAGGTTTCCTCTTCTCAACAGGGAGGCACAGTATCCATTCAGACAGGTAATTCATCTGCCCCATCCCTGTCCTCAACCTCTAAGGAACCTTTAACCAGGGACACAGACAAAGGAATAGCACCATCTGGAGAGAGATCTCACAATCGAGAGGCAAATTCAGTGAACACTGGGGCACAGCGTCGACTCAGTTTTGGTTTCACTGAAAGAATAGAAGGTAGTAGAGAAGCAACCAAAAAGCAGTCGGATGGTGAGAGTTTGAAGTCATCGCAACCAGTTAGCATAAGCCAGGTAGCACCACCTCTCGGAACTGCAGTATTGACAGGACATCAGAGAGGAAGTGGCAGTTTGAAAACCGAGAAAGGGAAACAAGCCACTAAAGATACTGACCTACCAGCCGGAGTCACTTTTATGTCCAGTCATCCACTTGCCACACTTCCTAAGGACAAGGCTAATACAGTCAAGGAAGGAAATGTGGCATCAGTGGCCGCATCAAAAGACACAGGAAAGACTGTGTCTCCACAAGCGGTTTACAGCAAAAGTGGGAGTAGGAAGTCTCACTGCTATGCATCTGGTCCAGCTGCGGCAGCGGCAATGACGCCTCTCTGGTCATCTGGTGCCAAGGTGGGAGAGGAGGACCTAAAGTGTGGCTTCCAGACAAGTGCTGCTGTCAATGCTAGTCATGGAACCTCTAGCACCAAAGACAAACACTCCAAAGTCAAAATGAATGTGAGCAGGGATGTTTCAAAAGAAAGAAAAGAGTCTGCTCAAAACCCAGTTCTTAACAGCAACTCTAAAAGCAGTAATGTCAAAACACAAGGTCAGGGTCCACCTCCTCACAACACTAGCAATAAAGCCACAGCATTGAGCAGCAACACGGGGTCTAGCAAGGTGGAAGTTAATAAATTTGATCAGAAAGAAATGGAGAAGCCATTCAAGTCCAAAGAGAGATTTAGCTTTGAGAAAAAGCATAGTTCAGCCATGGATGCTATTCAGCCGAAAGCAGGGTCTGAAAGAGGTATTAGACCACCACAGGTACACCCTAAATCAAGTAAGGAAGTTACTCCAGTGGTGAAGAAACACACTGAGAGGCTACCTCTAATGTCTCAAAAAATGGATCCTAATGGAACCAAAGCTGTCAGCATGTCCCCTAACACAAACACGTACACTTCTGTAACCCCTAGCAACCAGGGCCCCCAAAGAAGGTCCTCTCGAGTGATGGTTTTCTCCCCATCTGCAAGTTCTGAAAGCTCAGAATCAGATAGCCACATTCACCCAGATGATTCTGAGGAGCAACTCATGGACCACCAATGTGCAGATGATGGGGAGGACCATAATTTAGAGGATGAAGGCAGCGTCGATAAGCGCCATGAGGAGGATAGTGATGGTTCGGCAGGTTCAGCAAAGCGCAGATACCCAAGGCGGAGTGCCCGTGCTCGATCAAACATGTTCTTTGGGCTAACCCCTTTCTATGGTGTGCGATCGTATGGGGAGGAAGACATACCCTTCTACAGAACTGGTGAAATCTCCATGAAAAAGCGCACTGGGAGCAGCAAGCGTTCAGCTGAAGGACAAGTTGATGGGGCAGATGATATGAGCACATCATCTTCAGCAGACAGTGGAGAGGACGAAGAAGGAGGAATTGGTTCAAATAAGGATGCATATTATTACAACTTCACACGCACTATAATAAACCCCAACTCTGGTCTTCCACCTATTGCGGGTATTGATCAGTGTTTGGGAAGAGGGACGCAGATCCACAGGTTCTTGAGGGATCAGGCGAAGGAGCAAGATGATGACAGTGATGAGGTGTCAACAGCAACCAAGAATTTGGAGCTGCAACAAATTGGCCAGCTGGATGGCGTGGATGACGGTTCTGAGAGTGATGTTAGTATAAGCACCAGCAGCACAACCACTGCTACTACTTCATCAACAAACAAAAGTTCAACAAAAAGAAAAGGTAGAGAAAGCAGGACAGATAAAATAAGCATTGACTCAGGGAAGGAGACAGAAAATACACCAAGTGGGAACAGTCGTGAAAGTCGTAAAAATCAAAAGGATCCATTAGGGAGTGTGAAAGCACAAGGACAAGACCCCCTTGAAACTCAGTTGTCACTCACCACAGATCTCCTCAAGTCTGACTCTGATAACAACAACAGTGATGACTGTGGTAACATCCTACCCTCTGATATTATGGAGTTTGTACTCAATACCCCTTCAATGCAGGCTTTGGGACAACAAACAGAAGCTCCTTCTGCCGAACCATTCTCTTTAGATGAGAGTTACGGGGTGGATGTTAACCAAAGAAAGGACATGCTTTTTGAAGATTTCACCCAGCCACTGGCCAGTGCTGAACCTGGTGAGAGTGGGGTGAACACCTCCATTGCTGTTGACGAGTCATATGGTCTTCCCCTTGAGCTGCCCTCTGACCTCTCTGTGCTGACAACTCGAAGTCCCACTGTAAATAATCAAAATCATGGCTCGCTGATCTCTGAGACCTCTGACCGCACCATTTTGGCTCTGGCCACAGAGGAATCAGGAGTCGAGAAAAGCAGAAAAAAAACAAGAACAGGGTCCACTGTATCCAGCAAGAGCCCACAGGACAGATGTGCCGATTCCCAGATTCCAGAAGGTCAAATGACTCCAGAACACTTCATTTCTGCACGCATTGATGGTGACCATATCAGTCCTGGAGTTGCACCTGTGGGAGAGACAGGGAGCCAAGATCTGACGAGAAATAGTAGCACGCCAGGTCTTCCCAGCTCACCCACCTTGCCTCTCCAGAGTCAGAAGTTCATCCCTGCTGCCACTGTTAGCTCAGGTCCCACTCTGATTGCAAGCTCTGCTGTTCAAGCTACTGCCTCTCAATTGAAGCCTGGCCCAGATAAACTGATCGTGCTAAACCAGCATCTGCAGCCACTCTATGTTTTGCAAACCCTTCCCAATGGTTTAACTCAAAAAATCCAGATTGCACCATCTGTTAGTGCGACAGGTGTCATGAATACTAGTGCCCCTGTCTTGACAGGCCTCAGTGGTAGCATCTCCACCTCTCAGTCAATTTTTCCTGCTGGCGGCAAAGGTTTAGTTTCTGTATCTCATCACCCACAAATCCATGCGTTCACAGGCACTACTCAGACAGGTTTCCAGCCAGTCATTCCTAGTACCACATCAGGCCTCCTCATAGGAGTCACCTCCCACGATCCCCATATTGGTGTGACAGAGGCAGGAAATAGGCATGATCATGCCTCTGGTGTTGCTATGGTATCTAGTGCTTCATCCATCACCCCAGCACCAACTATGCTCCCCTCTGGACATGGCAAGAAACGCCTAATTTCTCGTCTTCAGAGCAATAAGAGCAAAAAACAGGCTCGTCCAAAGACCCAACCTACACTTGCTCCTTCCGATGTTGGGCCCAATATGACCCTCATAAACTTGTCATCTTCACATATTGCTGCAGGAATCCCTGCTCAGACAGGCTTGATGGAGCTTGGGACTATAACTGCAACACCTCATCGAAAGTTTCCTAACATTATAAAACGGCAAAAGCAAGGGGTGATGTACTTGGAGCCTACTCTCCTTCCACAGCCCATGCCCATTTCAACCACAACTCAGCCTGGCATGTTGGGACATGATTCATCGACTCACCTGCTCCCATGCACTATGTCAGGGCTTAACCCAAGTCAGTCTGTTTTGAATGTGGTGTCGGTGCCTCCCACTGCACCAGGAAACTTTTTGGGAGCAAACTCTGTATCTTTGAGTGCCCCAGGCCTCATAAGTTCAACTGAGATCACAGGATCTATAAGTAGCCTTCTTTTCAAAGCCAACCCTCACAACCTATGCCTTCCAGAGCAACAGATGGTTCTTCATTCAGGAACCCCCATGATATCTCATCTTACTAATCCTGCCCAGACATCCATTGCCAGTAGCATCTGTGTGTTACCCCCAAAACAAAGCATAAGCATGTCTGTCAACCAGCAGGTGGAGAAAGAGGGCAGCGTTCATCTCCAACACCCAGTCAGTCGAGTCCTGGCAGATAAAAACCTAGACCCAAATGGCAATTCAACTGGTCAAGTAACTCTTGCCCCTAATCCCATTACTCAAGACCTGAACAGAAGTCATGTTGTTGGCATCCTCACTCAGAGCTCACGAACCTCTCCCATTTCTCGACCCCCGCATCAGCAGCAATCCTCAAAGCTACCTGCTGGAGCTGCATCCACAGCTGTTGGGAAGGGAAAGCAAAAGGCCAAAAGACCTCGACCAAGCCCAGATAAGAGTGGAAAGAAACGCAAAGGACTTCAGTCAGATACACCAACTGTTGACACATCTGCAATCCAATTATCATATTTCCCAGGGTAAGAGCTTGACATTTATAATGCATATTGCTTATTGTTGTAAAAAAAAAATGTTTAAACATGCTAAAAATTATGTTTATTGTAGGGACCGGGAACTTTCATCACCTGAGCCAATGGATACAGGGCAGTCAAATGAAACGGGTTCAAAAACGAGGTAAACAATTATAAAGATCAGTCTTAACTTTTCAGTGTACTTCATTGTATCTGACCTATTAAAATGAATTTTTTCCTTCACAGTGACTCTGCCACTAAGACAGCTGATTCTTCTTCTTTTAAACGTACAACCATGGACACTCATGAGAAGCCAAAGACTGCAGGTGGGTAAAATCTTAGGTCTGGCTGTCCATCTCTCTGTTGAATGTCGCAGTGCTAATAGATGTTTTTTTTTGCAGGACTGCCTAGTAAGGGTGATGGGAAAGGATCTAATGCATTTTCAGTGGAAACACCTGATCAGAGGGACAGTGGGAGAGACTCCTTTCTGGACTACAAGCCCAAGAAAGGGCTCATATTTGAAATCTGCAGTGATGATGGATTTCAGATTCGCTGTGAAAGTATTGAGGGTAAGTGAGATCTAGATAATAAAGTAGGGATGCACCAATACCACTTTTTCCAGTACTCGGTGCATTGTTTTACTTGCTTCTTTTTTACATATCCGACCGAACTACAGACTTTCCAGTGATGTCCGTGAGAAAGGGATATTCACTCGACAAGCTCGCGCATCTGCGCCGCCGCGCGCTCAATCCTCTCAGCGTGCTTTGTTTATCAGCTCGCGCACATCAGCTATACAGGCGTTATTACTGAATGTTTAACGTTATATTCATTGCATACACACACTTCGTAGTAGACATCCTTAACTCCATTCTGCTGTCTGTTGTTCTGTTGTCGGTGTTTCTTTGTCTGAATATGGCACTTATCACATGCTGTGTGGTATCGGCGTTTGGTATCGGGGCATTTTAACGAGTACGAGTACAGGAGCTCAGTATCGGGCCCGATACCGATACCAGTATCGGTATCTGTGCATCCCTATAATAAAGTGTAATGGAGAGTTATAGACCCAGTATGGAGTATGATGTTCTTTTCTTTGATAATTACAGTCAGTCTTCTCTGAAATGAATTTCCTGTTTCCTGTTACTTTTCAGAGGCCTGGAAGTCCCTGACAGATAAAGTGCAAGAAGCCCGGTCCAATGCTAGACTCAAGGCACTTTCATTTGATGGTAAGAACATATTACAGTGTTTATTTTAATCTTAACACATTTGTTTTTACTAGTCATGTTAATTTGGCAAGGGCATCTTGTATTTCACATTGTCTTTCAGGAGTAAATGGGTTGAAGATGCTGGGTGTGGTTCATGATGCTGTAGTGTTTCTACTGGAGCAGCTATATGGAGCCAGGCATTGCCGAAACTACAGGTTCCGCTTTCACAAACCTGAGGAGCCAGAAGATCCTCCTGTCAACCCTCACGGATCTGCCCGTGCTGAGGTGTACCACAGGTGTGTGTCATGGCCAGGGTGTTCATTTTGTCAATACCTGAAAATCTTAAACCTTTCTATAATGGAGAATTCAGTGTTGTGATTGTGAACTATTTAAGCACTCTTAACAGACTTTCATCTGTTGAATTAATTTTTTAGGCGATCAGTTTTGGACATGTTTAATTTCCTGGCATCCAAACACCGTCAGCCTCCTGTATATAACCCCCAGGAGGAAGATGAGGAGGAGATGTTGCAAAAGTCTGCTCGGTGAGTAACCTTAGGGTAGGGACACACCAAACCTACGCCAAAAAACTAGCACGGAGCAAAGCTGACTGTGGCGTCACCTTGCATTGCCTCGCATTGTCTGCGTCGGGGCAAAAAAAGGTTGCATTAGAACACACCAGACAGACTACAGGCGACGGCTAACTAATGTGTACAATCTGCGCTTGCGTGACAGAACTTAACTTTTCCATACCAGCAGGTGGCAGCAGTCTTTATTCGGCATTCAAACAGGGAAACCGGAAGAGCTAGAACTATGGATATACAAAGCAAGCAGCACTTGCTTTTACCATTGTTTACACCAGCCGTGCTCATTACTGACAGATTTGTGTAACTTTGTTCAATCATGTTTGTTAAGTTGCAAATGGCACTGGCATTGTCAGCTCTTGGGTCGTCGTCTTGTGGATAAAGAAAGAAACCGAATGACATCAAGTGTGTCTGCATTCCCTCTTTGCTCTTTGTCATTGGTTTGCTTTCGTCGGTTCCATTTTTTTCTTGTGCGCTTATTCGCTAAGCTGAATAGCCAATCGCAGTTCTCTTTCTCGCCGACGAGCTTTGAGCTGCCGAATCGGCATACAGATTTGGCCGAAAAACAGCTGACAGTGTCCAACTACAGCCAACGGTGAAGAACAACTGAAAAGCCAAACGATGCTCAAAAACCACCCGACATTGCCCTATGGCCAACCATCGTCTTGGTGTGTCCCGGGCTTTACTGACCCTGTACTAACCTCTTTTCATTTATAAATTAACACATAACAACACCTGGTGTTTTCACAGACGGGCCACCAGCATGGACTTACCACTGCCTATGAGGTTCAGGCACCTAAAGAAAGTGTCCATGGAGGCTGTGGGTGTCTACAGGTATAAATGCTTTCTATTCAAATCAATAATGGGTGGGTGGATTGAGGAATGAAAAGCATGCGTCTTTGTTGCATACCATCTTTTGCATCCTATGTATTGCTTGCAGATCAGCCATACACGGCAGAGGTCTGTTCTGCAGGAAAAACATTGACGCTGGAGAGATGGTGATTGAGTATTCTGGCAATGTCATTCGCTCTGTCCTCACTGACAAGCGGGAGAAATACTATGACAGCAAGGTAAAAATCTAATACTTAGTCTATCAGTGCAATTAATTTAAAACAATAACACTGGTGTTCCTCATTGATTTGTCTTTTTTTGCTTTTACTCAGGGCATTGGCTGCTACATGTTTCGTATCGATGACTACGAGGTGGTGGATGCCACCATGCACGGCAATGCAGCCCGATTCATTAACCACTCTTGCGAGCCCAACTGCTACTCCCGCGTGGTCAATGTTGACGGTCAGAAGCACATTGTCATTTTTGCCACACGCAAAATCTTTAAAGGCGAGGAGCTCACGTACGATTACAAGTTCCCCATCGAAGAACCAGGCAATAAGCTGCCTTGCAACTGCAGGGCGAAGAAGTGTCGCAAGTTCCTCAATTGAAAGCAAACTTGCAAGCTAATATTGTCTGTGAATGCTATCAAGAGTGTATACTTGCCAGGGAAGTTTTTTTTTTTTTACTGAAGCAGGCTCAGGTTATCAGAAGGTTAATGGTATTGTGCCTCTTAAGTTGTTTGATTTTTAGAAAAGACAATTGAGTGGAGTCGCAATGGAGAAGATTGCCTTTGTGTCCCCTTTATTAATGCCCAATTTAAGAGATTAGTGCCCCCTCGTTCTTAAATTTTGTATATTATCTTTTTTTACCTTTTTTTTTTTTTTTTTTTTTTTTTAAGATAAAACATGAATAACTGATATTGCTGACTTATTAGATTTAATGTTTTTAGATTGACGATACATAATCCTTTTTTTAGCCTGACCTGTTTAGACATCTCTCCCTTTTTGAATGTACATCGAAGCCTTCAGAGCATCCATGGTCATCCTTGCCAAGCTTGGCCTGATTCTCTGTATGGAATACACTGTAAATATCTCATAGGGGAGATGATGAGGGGAAACACTAGGGGGAGCAGTGGTCCCAGGAATAGGTTGTCTGAAGAAAAATGGTAAATGTTCTTTTTGTCGGTGGTAGAAAGAAATGTGTTACGAAGAGTAGGCCATGATGGGCTTGTGAGATGTGTGGCTGGCAGGTTGAGATCCTGGTGGACTGACAGCCAATGGACCAGAGCAATTTGGTAGCTTAATTGCATTGTATTTTCAAAAAAAGTATAATTTGCATGTTGTTACGAAACATTGTAGGATTTAATTGATTTTAGTGAGTCCAAATGCTATTACCAGTCTATTTCTTGTATCTCACCATTAGGGAGTTTTTTTTTTACTCCCTAGGCCCGTAGTTGTGTATAAAATAAGATTTTTTTGAGGCAATTTAAAACTTGACTATTTTTGTTGTCTCATGTCACTGACAGAAATATCATTCGTTGAATAATGTAAATAATATGTATATTTTTCTATACAAATGACTAAAAGCACTCATTGGTGAATCGCACTTAACAATGGTATTTATATTTTTAATAATACATTGTATTTATTTTATCTCAATTTTTGTAGGAAATAATAGATTTAGAACACTAATGCTTTGTCCAAACATTTTTATAGCACTATCTCAAGATTTTTTAGTTGAACTTATTTTTTGTTTTTGTAGCCCAAATATTTCGTTCTATTCCAAAGACTGAAGCAGTTACTGTTGCCACAGAGTGCGGTCCACCAGAGGCTCTCATTGCCAACCCAGGTCAAGCATGGACATTTCAAATATTTCAAATAGATGTGTAGGTTTAGTGTGCATTTCTAAGTGCAGATCGGTTTGATATGACTCTCCTTTTTTTTAGTGCCAGCCTTAAAATCACATGCAAGAACTGCCCATCTTCCCTTGAAATTCCCTTTTTGTGTTTTCTAAACTTGGAGGAAAGATGCATGAAATCCTTCTCTAGCATTCTAGCAACTGACAAGTCCCAAAGTTTATTTCGTATATTTTGTTATATCAAAATATTTTCTTAGAGATTGGTGTAATGCAAGGAATTGCCACAGAGGCCATCCCATGTAAAATTACTTGTAAAGCACTATATATATGGAGGAGAGGGAGGAGGGCTCTTGTTTCCTCATGGTCTTGTGCACTGAAGATCAGTCTTCTTCAACACATGTTGCCTTGGCACTGCATGGACGCTCCGGACAGCCATTCAGTCAATGCACATTATTTGCTCGTATCATCTCTTCATTCTCTTGTAAATGTTGACACTCCTCACACCTGTTCCCATCTGTGCCCTTTTCAGAGCTCGAGTTTTGTTTGACCCCTTTTTGAATAAGGCTAATACAGATGTGGCTTAATTATTTTTGTGGATGTTCTGTGGTTTGTTCTTCCATGGTTCTTCCATCTTTCAGATCAGAAGTTATGTGCCTTCTGTGTAAATTTCTATGGTTGTTGTTTTAGTTTTTGGATGTTAGGCGTTAGAACTTGATTGGACAGTCAGCTGAGGAGCTCCAGACTATGGAGAAACGTTCAAAGCTGTTTTAACTAGGGCACAAACAGATTCCACTTGAAATTTGTCTCGTTTAATTTTTCATGTAAAGTTACGATGATTTTTAAAGGGATGCTGTAGCATGAGTATGTATGTGGGTATCACAGAATGGCTTGGGATCTGTACATACCTCTAGACGAAGCTGCTTTGTGCAACCGTGGCTTCCTTAGCAAGCCACTTTCAAGGCCAGTTCCTCTTTGTCTCGTTGCCTCGTAAGTTTAAGGCTAAAACAATTGTATTTTTTTTCCTTGGCCACTGCAGACCCCCTCCAGCCCTCACTGTACCTAGGCTGCAATAATTTTGACATTTCCCAGCAATTCACTTTTGACTATGGCACTGAAGATCAAAGTTCTGTACGTTGCCTCATTGAACATTTGTTGGCTGCTGCCTCCTATTTGTATACGTGTTTATATTGATCAGAATTTGCAGTTTAGCCATCTTTTTCAGGGATTCCTGGGGGTCTCTCCCAACTTTCCTCTCGCCCTGGCACCCCTGTGGAACAGGATGTGCTGAACTCTGCAGCTAGGCCGTTGTTGAATGTATTCTATAATTTTTTTTTTGTTTGTTTCATTTTTGTGAATTTTTACATTTTTTTTCCAACATGAAAGGCTGGGAAGATACGGGACAGCTTTTTATTGCATAAAAGAGGATTATACAGCAGGGTTCTACAGAAACTATTGCTCAGCCTAATGAAATAAGACTTTTATTTTATTAATATATTTTTTTGTAATGCAGTTACTAATCCTAAGGGCTTTGTAATGGACTCCTGCACAGACATCAATACAGCGTCCGATGCTCCATAAACTGGTGTAACAGCGCTCGGTCAGTGTTTCAGAAGCAGACATGCTCTGTCGTTTTCCTGGACTTTACTCTTCCACACCACGCAAGTGGTACCACACCTTCTCCTGTAATTATAATCAACAGTATATATGTATACACAAT